AACCAGCGTAACTACGACCATCTTTCGGAGACTTGGCAGATTCTCGAATGGCAAAAACTGGGATATTGTTTTGCACTCAAAACGAGCAGCAAAACTGGCCAATAGGAAGGCAGACCGATGTTGACTCATGACGAGAAACGACACGTGATGGGAAAGGGCAGGGACGGAATTCTGTGATGCTGTTTCGATGATTGCACTCTTGATCCCAGTATCTGGAAAGTCCAAGACACGATTGCGTGAAAGACGGGGAAAGAAGTTATCGACATTTTTACGCTACATTTATGTCCGAATAGAAGTTACACGTTGGCTGCTTTAGACACAGAAACAACACCAACTCCCTCTTTCTCACGCCGCGCATGTGTCTTTTTCTTACTGGTTAGAACTAACGAATGTACTGATGAGCGTGGGCGTGTGACATGATGTCAATCGGAGAGAGAGAGAGAGATTCATGGCTGTCTATTGACACATTATGATCATGTGCTGGAAGGCTGGAATCGTCTAAGCCAGGGATACAGCACCGGACACGGCGATGTTTCGTGGCACTGTGCTCGAGGGAGTGGTACGGCACTCGACTCTAGGGTAAAAAGTTCAAGACAGGCATTTATCTGAGCCCCTTGAACCACTGTTTCTGCGCCTCTGTTTCCACGCATAGCCAAGGAGGTTAATTGACGTACACCCGTTGTCCAGAAGCGGAGCACACTGGCAGACGTCGTGGACTGCGCGCTACGGAAAACAACATCGTTTCGCTCACACAATAAGTGGCCATGCAGATAGAGCACATCAGGAACCATATCCGTCGCCACATCTGTTCGCCCGCAGCGACATCGTCTTAAATACTATTCAACAGTCGAGACCGCTGAAACGCTGGAATTTTCGGATTCTGACCGTTGGCACAGTCGCCGAAGTAGCTAGAATAGACACTAGAAGTAGTGATGGCGCCGGTCCAATGTCGGAGGAATTTACCCCAGCACGCATGCGCCTTCGGGCACTCCCAAAATAAGTGTACTGAAGTCTCAGGAACCGCTTGACGCTCCTGCACTGCACGACAGCTGTTGTCCGCGGAGCGCCCCGCGTGATAAAAATTGAGTTGCTTGGTAGCGATGCGATACATTGTACAGACCAAATCATCAGATAGACCGTTGTCATGCTTCCAGACCTGTGAAGGAAGCTGATGGGCCGCCGCCCGGAGCTAAGTATCCGTGCGAACAACCAAGTCCAATGTATCCAGCAAGGGTTGCAAGGGAGTGTTATTAAGCGTTTGTGGAGCTGAAACGCCTGGCGATCAATTGCCTGACGTGAGAAATCATTGAGAACCGTATGGACACCGTTTAAGCATACCGATGATGGCGAGGGTGTGCGTAAAAGACCACTCCACGCTGCCTAAGGTGCGTAGCTCAGCTAAATCGCATATTGGCCAAGTCCGTGTCAAGCTCAGGAGGCTCCGTCTCAAAATATCAGTGCAGCCCGTCGGCGGCCTGCCTTAAGCAAACTAGACCCACTTTTGACTGCGAAAGACCTCTGCGAGTACCGACGATGCAGCTTCGTCACTTAATCACCCAGTCGAAGTCATGCCGAAACTCGGGGGGACGGCGAATCGACAAAACAGGCTCCATACCCAGTATCGACCGAACCGGGAAATAAGGCGACGCCAACAATAGCAGTCGTCCACCGCCGTAATTTGAGCTGGGAGTACGTACCACTCCCCGGCCGCGACGATGAAATGGTAAAAACTAACTCGGTTTGGCCCGTCATCCGAACGTGTAGTCGCACGATCGAACAGGCTTCAATTTAATCATATTTAGAGTGCTGCAGTTGCGCACCTGTAGCATCCTGAATCCACGGGTTTCCACTTCAGCCAAAATTCACCCGAAAACGGGTCATCGCTTGAGAAAGATAATCGAGGGTATCATGGGCGTCAAGAAAGGGAGCTGAGTAGGACAGCACCCAGTCATCTTCGTCCCACCAGCTGCTAGCGGATCGCAACAGTGACGCACAATTGGTTGATAGCCGGTGTCGGCGGTGCCTCGCCTGCTCCGCCGTCGGCTCGAGAAGTCTGAACAGGTCCGTAGCAAAAAATTCTTTTGCGGGCTGCCGTGAGCGGGACGGTTGCGCATTATCCCGCAGCCATTTTTCCATTAATATACCAGAACGAGCAGACCGACCTTGGTACGTCCAGGCACGCGATGCATAAAAATATTTATCATGAGGTTGAGTCAGCCAGCACAGTGCGTGTTTATCGCGTTGCGTTGTCCCAGCCACCTCAACCGAGGCAAGAACTACGCCGCTCGCCTGGTTTGGTGCGTTCAGTAAACCAGGACTGATCTTGTGGCGACTTGCTTCAGTCGAGGTCGCGTAAGCCCACAAGAATTTTCTACAGAGATTACGGATGTCCTTGCGGGTCAATCCGTGTAACGGGGTGAATCGTTTTATAACAATTTATAAGAAATTGTTAATAGAATATAACTATAAGAGTTATATTCTCAGAATATTGTCATAAGGACAATATTCTGCAGCACTTACGAGTAGTTCCTAATTGGTTGATATAGGCCATTATATCAACCAACGAAGACGCGCCACGGCAGACGCACGCAATGAGTGGTGAGCAGATAGTTGATATGCACATTTGTATTCAGACATAGTTAGATGAGGATGAATAGTGGTTTATTGACAGACATTAACTATTATAAATACAGTTCTACTTTTTACTTATAACAAGTACTCGCTTCTTCGTACAGTCTTCCTCTGCACGTACCAGTGTACGTGAAGTTCCGAGGCACCGCCTTATTCTGTCATTAGAATAAGTAGCTTGTACTGTCATCAGTACAAGCTTCAGGGTGCCCTGTTACACCTGGTAGCACTTCGTAGTTCGTCCAAGGACCACGTTCACATCCAACATGAATATGTTAGATGATGATGATGCCCAAAGCTTTCACGCTACGCGTGCCGGCTACTCCCATTTGAGCGATGTCGAATGGGATGCGGTTGAACGGATGGGTTCAACCATGGCCATCCATGCTGTTAGCGTCATGCTAGAGGCTCTCGATAGAGATGCCCAACATGCTACTATCGCCAAGTTCATTCAAAATGAACTTGACGCAGAACTCGAGAAAGTATCCTTGCTTCACCAACAAGGTTCTCAACAATCAGAGTTGTTGAGAGAACAGGGTGCTCAACAATTTGAACTGTTGAGACAGCAGCAGGCTGCTGCTGGTGGGTCGATGCACTCGCGTCGACCCGAGACCTTGAAGATTGACATCTCCAAGTATAGGGGAGTCGAAGAGGACTCCCTCTTGAGATGGTTTGTCGAATTAGACGACGCCTTAAGGGTGCGTCGCATAGACGACGGGGAAATGCAAGTTGCATTTGCCCAATCAAATCTGGCAGGATGTGCCAAGACTTGGGCTTTGGGGCTCAAGTTGCACGACCCACATGCGTTTGGGTCGTTAGAAGTCTTCAAGTCGCGGCTCAGACAAACGTTTGAACCACCCAGAGCTGAGTTCAGAGCTCGAACTGAACTCTTGAAGCTCAAGCAAGGTAAGCGTGATGTGCACGCTTACGCGCAACATATACGACATCTCACGAGTTGTATAAGTTCCAACCCGGTTGATGAACACACGTTGGTTTCGGTGTTCATGCAGGGTCTTGCGGATGGTCCCGTCAAGACTCACCTGTTCCGGCTTGAACTAGATTCACTAGAACAAGCCATCTTAATTGCGGAACAGGAAGACTTCAGTCTGAGACAGCCTCGCGCCAACTCGACTTCATATCGTCAACCGAGACGATATGACAACGGAGGTCCAGAACCGATGGAACTCTGCTATGTGGAGAGCGAGAAGGCTCGCTCTACAGGCTACAAGAAGTTGCAGAGATGCAACAGATGCCAAAAGACAGGACACTACGCTTACGAGTGTAGTGCCCCTCGTCCAGTGTCTCGCAACACTGGGCGTAATGACCGTCCACCCATGAGAAAGTGGCAGGGACGCGGGTCCGCTGTTGGTACAAAGACGCAACAACGGGTGGACCGTCAAAAAACGGTCAGGATCAGTAGGTGTGGAGCACCCTACTGATCCAGCAACGTCAAGAGAATTTGTAGGCCTCTTGATGAAGGTTGCTCCCAACGCACAAACGTTGTGCGTTGCTGCTCTAGGTAATGAGGACTCACTCATTACCTTGAAACTCGAAGTGACGAATAAGTTGTCCCGTTGAGCTCTAGTCGATTGTGGGGCGTCCAACAATTTTGTGCGACGCCAATCGCTAGAAGATGGTCACTTCAATTACAGTGAATGTGACACACCTCCTATGAGGATGACGGTACGTCTTGCGACAGGCGTATCCGTAACCGTCATGAAGCGTATAGTGAAGATCCACTATACGCTAGAAGATACCAAATACGACGATGACTTTGTCTTATTGGATTTGGATGACAAATTTGATGTCATCCTTGGAATACCGTGGCTCAGAAGGTACGAACCACGAGTAAACTGGCAACATTGAACAGTAACGATGCCTGCCGCTTGTTCATCAGATGGCCATGTGATGAACGTTTTGGAGCGTCCACAAGCGTGTGTATGTACTACGAAGGAGTGCGATGGCCTCACTTGTGGTACGGTCGTTAGTACGACTGCACAAAACCTTAGTGTAACAAACAGTTACACTTCGGAGCCAAGTTCCGGCGGCTGTGAGGAAACACAGGCTGCGCCGAAGGTCCACCACTCGAATAAGTCGAGTGGACCGGGACAAAGATGTATCCCTAGTGGGGAACATCTAGAAGAGAAACAATCGATCGCTCAGGTTAAGCGAAACGATAATCCTAGATCGACTGGAGAGTCTTTCGTATAGGATCTCGCTGTGGTTGCGCAGCCACAGCTAGAGGAGGTTAAGGGAATAAGTCCTGATATTACAAATACGGTGGAAATAAGTTCCCCGAAACCCGAGGGAATAAGTCCCCGGGAAGCCGAAGGAATAAGTCCTTCGAGGCCTGAGGGAATGAGCCCCAGGAAATGACAGAGACATTGAATGTTTTAGTCAATGATGGATCAAGTGTAGGCGCTTACACACTTGATCTGATTGCGCCTCCGAATTTGACTTCGGAGATCACTCAGTTGCCAACGCTCGAACATAAAAGGTTCTTGCGTGATCTGCGTAGTGGCAAAGTCAAGCAGATCTGCGTACTCTTCGCTGACGACGAGTATGTAGCCGACATAAGGTCAGCAACAGTGTTTACTGAGAACGAGAGAGTTCTCAGTAGTTCATCGATGGACGAGAGTGTACTAGATGAAAAGACACGAGTTGAGCGATATGACTTCCTATCGTGGGAATCGCTCAAGACAAATCCTCTCTATGAAGATTTGGTTGAATTCAAGGATGTATTCCCTGAAACTGTTCCGTGCGAATTACCGAAGGAGAAAGGTATTCGACACGAGGTCGAGCTTAAACCAGGATCGAAGTACTGTGTCATGAAGCAGTGGCCACTGCCTCGTGAACAAGTACTTGCGATCGACCAGTTCTTTGCCGATCATTTAGCTGAGGGCGACGTGAGGGAATCAACTTCCCCACACAGCTCTCCGACCTTCTGTGTGCGAAAAGCAACAGGAGGGTGGCGGATAGTGCATGCATTCAACAAGTCGAATGCTACAACGGTACCGGCTCAGACGCCGATACCAAGGAAGGACGTAATCATTGATGGTATGTCAAAGAGTACCATCTTTTCGTCCATGGATTTGATGGATGGCTTCTATCAAATCCTTATGCGAGAACGGGATATACCTATACTGCAGTTAGCACGCCTAGCGGAATGCTCTGGGAATGGCTAGTAATGCCACAAGGGCTTAGTAATGCCCCTGCCACGTTCAACAGATGTGTATCACATCTGTTGAGACCAGTACGAGAATTCGCACCGAGCTATTTCGATGTCGTATTCATCCATAGTCGGGCTATGGATGGAGGTCGGATGTTGAGGTTCACAGATACCACGCCCGACAGGTTCTTACAATCATGCGAAAGCATCAATTGTATGCAAACCTCAAGAAGTGTATATTTGCAGCAATCGAAATACCACTTCTTGGGTGCATTTTTGGTAAGAACGGTGTACGTCCTGATCCCGAAACGATCAAGGCGATCACCGACTGGCCTGTGCCAGTCGACGTCAAAGGTCTTCGAAAATATCTTGGGCTAGCGGCGTATTTGCACAAGTATTCACGCAATTACGCCGAGATGACTGTGTACCTCTCTCGTTTGTTGAAAAAGAGCGAGAGGTGTTTATGGAACGCTGAATGTCAGCGCTCCTTTGATGGTATCAAGAAGAGCTTGATACAATCCCCCTTCCTAGCAATTGATGATCAGGACAGACTATTTCATGTGGTCTGTGATGCCAGCGATTTCGCAATCGGCTGTGCACTAATGCAGTACGACCTAGAAGGCGTTGAACGCGTCGTCTGCTATCAGTCGCGTCAGCTGCAACCAGCTGAGCGGAACTATCCAGTGCATGACAAGGAACTCCTTGCCATGAGGTACGCACTCGCAAAGTTCAGAGTCTATCTATTAGGATATAGACCCTTCATTGTTTACACTGACCATGCGTCATTACGCACGGCAGTGAACAGCCCGCACCTTTCACAACGAATGGCGCGGTGGTTGTCATTCTTTGCAGAATACAACTTTACGGTTGAGTACAAACCAGGACGACTTAACGTCGTCGCTGATGCACTCTCACGTCGTCCCGACTTTGAAACAGTCGCGAAACCCAACAGTGAGACAGTCACTGTTGCGGTTATGACGTCCTCAGTCCCATCTACAACGTTGTATGATGATGTGAGGCGGGCATATGCCCAAGATGGTGAGATTGTGAAGTTGTTGACACATCTCTCACAGCCATCTCGAGAATCGTTGAAACGATTGTCGTCTGCGTATCGATCTGCATCAGATCGATACACTACTCGCAACGGTTTACTGTATTATACAGCCGTTTCTGGTGACACACCACGTGTTGTCATTCCAGATGATACTGATCTGCGTTTGCGGATCATGTTCGAGTATCACGATGCTCCTATAGGAGGACATCGTGGCCGTGAGAAAACATATCTCACGGTGAGTCGAGACTTTTACTGGCCCCGCCAGTATCAGTTTGTGCGAAAGTACATTCGCGCATGCGAAGTCTGTCAACGAGTGAAGTCAAGTCCTTCACTGCGTGCACCTTTACAGCCTCTACCGGTTCCGGCTGAGTGCTGGGAATCCATCTCAATGGATTTCGTCTTCGGGTTACCCAAAGACGCACGCGGGAATACGGGTATTCTCGTTTTTGTTGACAGATTCAGCAAAATGGTACACCTTGTGGCTGTACCAGAGTCAATCACGGCAAGTGGCTGTGCTTGTGTCTTTATTGACACCATCTTCCGACTTCATGGGTTGCCCCGTGAACTCGTATCAGACAGAGATCCACGATTCACTGCTGATTTCTGGCGTTCCGTGTTCAAATCACTCGGAACGCGCTTGAAGATGTCGACATCTGATCATCCCGAGTCAGATGGTCAGACGGAACGAGCCAATCGTGTCCTCGAAGAGATACTTCGAGGATACGTACACTCCTTTAAGAGTTGGAGTGAGTTCTTGCCAATGGTAGAGTTTGCCGTCAACAACTCGGTGCATGCGTCCACGACACATACACCGTTTTACGTGAATGGCTTACGCCATCCGCGTGTACCCACCTTACTCGAGTGTAACTCTGGTTTAAGGGGGGGAGAGACTCGCGCGAGCAAAAACCGATTTGGATCACGCTCATCACGCTCTGACGAAGAGGTCATTGCGTTTGATGCCGATATCGATAACATCGATATCGAAGAAGATGATGCCAGTAAGAGTGCGGAATCCCTCACTGAAGAAGATGATCCCAGTGAGAGTGCGGAAGCCCTCACTGAAGAAAAGGTTGATGTTGCTGCAGTGCACTCACAGCGCACTGAAGCTAACGAGCCAGCAGATGAGTTCATACTGGCTCGTGAAACGGCAGTCCGTTTTGTGCAAGATTCCATCGCCGAAGCGGTGGATAAGCAAAAGCAAAACGCTGACAAGAATGGAAGGGCAAACACTCTTTTATTCAATAAAGGGTGACTTAGTCCTACTGTCTACGGTTAATCTACCAAAGCATGTAGTGACTAACTTGGGTAGCAGTAAACTACTACCCAAGTACATTGACCCGTTTCGTGTATTGCATCGCCTAGGCAATGCATACACGATCGAGTTACCACGTAAGATGCGAACGCATCCCACGTTTTACGTTGGTCGGCTTAAGCCGTACCATCAGTACGCTGCTTCTTCCGATGAAGAACGCCCTTGCGCTCAAGCATCTCGCGGAGAGCCTTGTGCTCCCGATGGTGGGCATCGACAAGGGTCTGAAGAGCAGATGTCTCAGCCCGAGAACGCTCAACATTCCCACGAGCTACCCTTAGCTCGTCACGCAGATACGTCAGAGCTCTCTCGTTCTCAAGCTGAGCAAAGGCAAACTCAGATCGATGCTTCGAGACAGTGTGCGCGGTTGGATACGCCTGTCCCGCTCATGTTCAGATCGCCGCGTAACCCTTGCGTTACGCGATCAAAGAAGCTCTCGGGAACACACGCTTCCCCACGATTGTGTGGAGAGCGTCTTCCCTCCTCCACCTCCATTAGAGGACTCTCGCGGTGGCCAGCGCTATCTAGTTGATCAGCTGTTGAACCACCGCGACGTGAACGGACGTCGGACGAGTCATCTCGTCCGATGGCGCGGCTATCCCCCGTCCTGGGATACTTGGGAGCCCCGCTCCCAACTGATGGTTGACGTACTGGGTCTGGTTGAGCAGTACGACGCGGCACATCCTGTGTCGCAGAAGGACCACCGGAGAAAGTCTTCCCGGCACGGTTGTAAAGGGATTTCAGGTTGTCAATCCCTTCGTACATCTCAGTAGAGATACGTACGCGCCACCACGGGCTAGTAAGGAGGTAAGCCTCCTTAGGTGCTCGTGCAGAGTTGTTCACACAACATGGGCACGAGTCTCCCCAAGAGAGGCAGGGCAATCCTTTCTCCCTTGACAGACGATGCAGCTTGTAGCGTGCACCTGTCGGGGTTCGCTTTTCAAACTTATCACGAGCTTTGATAAGTTTGTCGTTCCAAGCGTCACGACCTACATCCTCGAGGTTATGGATGTAGGCGTTCCACGCTTGAAGCAGTGAGGGATCATCACGTTTGTGATTCCCACTGTACCATCGATGTTTGAAGAAAGCATCGATGAAGAATTCATGTTCAGCGCGATAGTCTTTCGCATTGGGGCCAAGGTGATGAATCCTTGACGAATCGAACAATCGTGTTCGATAACGATCACTTGTCGGCGACGACGAGTGATCCATGACGCATTTGGAAGGCGTCCATGCCTTATTCTCGGGAGCGAGACGCAATACACTGCGGTCCCGCTCTTCTTGCGACGTGCCGACAAAATTACTGGCACCTCGCTGTGAAGTGGTGTCAATAGGAGAACCGACACCACTGTTAGCGCCCGAGTCTTGCGACCTCGAGCGCCTTCGCTTCGGCGATGGTTCATCTGATTTGTCAGATGAACCATAGATGCTACGACGCGTAGCATCATCCATGCCACGCTTGGCAGGCGGATTGGTTTCGATGGCCGTCGATACGGATCCGTCTTCCGTATCGAGAGAGTATGAGACACCGAGCTCATATTCTGTGAAGACACGAGTGTCTTCATGACGAGCGCCTGCATCACCAAGTGACACAGGCTGGGTCGCTTCAGCAACCGATGGGACATCAGTTGCTGTTGTTTCTGCTTCGGCGTCCGCACAGAGACGTACAGACGCGCTCTCGGCGGCCTTGTTCGCGCATCGCATGGGCTTGTTTACCATGCGATGAAATGTTGGAAAGTGGACGCGGACCAACAAGTGCAAACCCCGTCCCAAATGATTTGGGACGAGTATCCATTTAGTCAATCAGTCACTAAAGTGACTGATGGTTAAGGGGGGGGTGATGTAACGGGGTGAATCGTTACATAACAATTTATAAGAAATTGTTAATAGAATATAAATATAAGAGTTATATTCTCAGAATATTTTCATAAGGTCAATATTCTGCAGCACTTACGAGTAGTTCCTAATTGGTTGATATAGGCCATTATATCAACCAACGAAGACGCGCCACGACAGACGCACGAAATGGGTGGTGAGCAGATAGTTGATATGCACATTTGTATTCAGACATAGTTAGATGAGGATAAATAGTGGTTTATTGCAGACATTTACTACTATATACACTGTTCTACTTTTTACTTTAAACAAGTACTCGCTTCTTCGTACAGTCTTCCTCTGCACGTACCAGTGTACGTGAAGTTCCGAGGCACCGCCTTATTCTGTCATCAGAATAAGTAGCTTGTACTGTCACCAGTACAAGCTTCAGGGTGCCCCGTTACACCTGGTAGCACTTCGTAGTTCGTCCAAGGACCACGTTCACATCCAACATGAATATGTTGGATGATGAAGATGACCAAAGCTTTCACGCTACGCGTGACGGCTACTCCCATTTGAGCAATGTCGAATGGGATGCGGTTGAACGGATGGGTTCAACCATGGCCATCCATGCTGTTAGCGTTATGCTAGAGGCTCTCAATGGAGATGCCCAACATGCTACTATCGCCAAGTTCATTCAAAATGAACTTGACGCTGAACGCGAGAAAGTAGCCTTGCTTCACCAACAAGGTTCTCAACAAGCAGAGTTGTTGAGAGAACAGGGTGCTCAACAGTTTGAACTGTTGAGACAGCAGCAGGCTGCTGCTGGTGGGTCGAT